GTGTGTGTGTGTAGTGCTGAGGGCAGGTGCGTGTGTGTGTAGTGCTGAGGGCAGGTGCGTGTGTGTGTAGTGCTGAGGGTAGGTGTGTATGTGTGTGTAGTGCTGAGGGCAGGTGTATGTGTGTGTAGTGCTGAGGGCAGGTGTGTGTGTGTAGGGCTGAGGGCATTAAATGGAAAGGTTGTTGCCTTTTTCCTGCTTCAAGAAATCGTGTTGTATCGTATGTTAGTTTCCTCACTAATTTAAAGATAAGCCTACTATCTTCTACTCAGCTAAACTCTGAGGGAAGCATAAACTATCAAATTTAATACTACTTTAAAGACACAGAAGTCAAGTTACTATAAAGACCATTCCTGTAGGAAGAGACAGGCAAGAGCAGCTTTCTCCCAGCCTTGAAAATGGCTGTCGGTTGGGCACGTGCACCTGTGCACTGGAGAAGCTGACAAGGTCTCAGCCTAGACGCTAAGAGTTGTAGTTAAGGGATAAGAAAAGATTGTGCTTGAGAATAAACTGGCTGACTAATAACAGTAATTTGAGAATTCTTTTGGTTTTCATTTTCATCTATCAGTTTTGGGAATTTCAAAGACTTCAAATAAGTGGTTCTTCAGGAGAATTGGCATAGATGGGAAGCAAGCTTGATTATCAAAAACAAAAAGGACAGACCGGGTTCTCAGAATTGACACTGTTTGTGATTAACAATTTCTTTTGCTGACTAAAGGAAAGTTTTAACCCCGGCTTCTGTTTGGTTTCTACTTAATGCAAGTGATAAAGGATTTTTATTGGGACTGAAAGTAAAGAAGTTAATGAGCAAAGATAGATAAGGATATTGGTAATAAGTAGTCCCCTCGTATCCAGGGTTCCACTTTCTGAGGTCAGTCAATCACAGTCCACTAATACTAAAAAGAAAATTTCAAAAATAAATCATTTCCGAGTTTTAAATTGCACAGGGTTCTGAGTATTGCCATGAAATCTCACGCTGCCCCTCTCTGTCCTGCTTGCCCTGCACGTGACTCCTCCTGCTGCCTGGCATGTCGACGCTGTATGGGGCACCTGTCCCTTAGTCACTCAGCAGCCATCTCGCTTATCAGATACACTGTGTCTCAGTGCTTGTGCTCAAACCACTCTTCTTTTACTTAACAATGGCCCCAAAACACAAAAGTAGTAATGCTGGCACACTGTTATAATTGTTTTATTATTAGTTATTATTGTTAATCTCTTACTTTGCCTACTTTATAAATTAAACTATCATAGGTACATGTATATAAGAAAAGTAGTGTCTGTGGGGCTGGGCACTAAGCACAGTGTCCGATATCCACTGGGGCCTTAGAATGGCTTCCCCTCCCCACACCCTGAAGACAAGAAGGGACTCCGGTCTAAGTGTTTTCTATTCCTTTGACTAGAAAAAAAAATGATTTTAAAAATATCTTCCCCCATTTTTTTTCAATGTGGGCTTATTATTTGATTAGAAATATGACAAACTACAATGGCCATTCAGGAAAAAAACACAGGCATATATATATACAGAGCTTTAATTCCTAAAGTGAAGTTGAATGGCTTTTACTGAGATCTGGCTTGTACAAAAGCAGCAGTCCCTTTGGGGCCAATTGGTGTAATTGTTTTCAGTATAAATCCTAAAAGTCACCTGTTTTAGGTTAGCAGAATATCTAATGTTCTGTCTTTACACCACATACCAGGTAGCCAATCTAAATCCCAAGGACCTCTCATATACCTTAAAGGATTACGTCTTTAAAGAGCTTCAGAGGGACTGGCCTGGGTACAATGAAATAGACAGGCGATCATTGGAGTCAGTGCTCTCTAGGTAAGTGCTTTCTTCCCTTTTTCTTCTTTTTCCTTTAAAAATGATACAAATTAGGCTGAAGGAGTAGGATACCAGGGGTGGCAGGTTCAAACCCAGCCCCAGCCAAAACTGCAAAAAAAAAAAAAGATACAGATAAGTATTTATTTCAATCATTATTATTTTAGTGTTAAAGTGGGAAAGAGAATCAAGGGTAAGCTTTCTATCCTGAAAACTTTAAAATTCTCCTGTAACACGTAATATATGTGTCCTTTACAGAAAACTCAATCCGTCTCAGAATGTTGCAAGCACCAGCCGTTCAGAATCTCCATTGTGTTCCAGCAGAGATGCAGTATCTTCTCCTCAGGTATTTCATGGAGCTATGGAATCAGAGACCTGAGCTAGACCTACGGGGCCACTGGCCAGGTCCTCTGATATATAAATGAAGCTTGCCTGCCCAAAGCTGCACAACTAGCTTGCAGCCCAGCTCGGCCTGGGGTTTAGGCCTCAGCTCCCAGCCCACCACGCTCTCCACTACATAGCAGTGCTGTCAGAGTACTTAATATGTACCTTGCTTTCATTTTTTAAGTTTACATTTCATTGTAGATTTTCTACTTTTCAATTTGGTCATGAACTAGAAGACTTATCCAGGGCCCTATAATTCTCAGATGATGTGGAAAACTGAAGATATTTAATTTTGTCTGAAACACGTTTCAGAAAAATATTCTTGCAGAAATAAGTGACAAGTGATAGCATTTTCGTGTTTTCTTACAGGCTTTTTCAATTTGATCCTTATCAGGATACTCCCAATCAGACTGCCCTCCAGTTTAGAGTTTCCCCCAAGAGATGAGTTCATTGTGGAAAAAGTCAAAGGAGGTCCTGGGCAGTGCCAGAGTTCCAGCCCGCCTGGCTCTCAGCCCACTGGCCAGCCTCAAGACCCTCTCAGTGTCCCATGTGCTTTGGATGGACTGTGGGACATACTTCTCCACCCATGGACACACTGTCCCCTCTCTCTGGACCCTACTCCCAAGAATTAAGGAAAAGCAGATAGATGTGTGGAGAATAGTAAACACGTCCTGAGCAAAAGTCTCATGTCCTGAGAAAAGGCTAGAAACCTACTGTGAGGACCAGAGAGGAAGCAAAACGTAAAGCAGTTCTGTCCTCACTTGTGCGTGTGTGGAGGCCTCACTTTTAATGCCAATGATTACAAACCTGTTTCTATTCCGATCAAATTATATACTGGGTGCCAAGCAAATGGTGTTAAATTCAAAACAGAATAATATAATGCATTGATTGTTTTCTTTCAAGCTAATAATATAAGCCACAGCATTACATTTAAACATAAACATAAATTTGTTTTACACTTTTAGACTGTCTAAATTTCTCTTTTAACTTAATAAGCAGCTATCATTGTTGCTGGGTTGGGCTAGTATTACCATAATTTTCTTTAAAGTACTAACACATCATTTTAATGGACCAGTTATTAACACTTATCTTGCAATCTGATGAGGAGATATGTAAGGGTAAAACAGTTAAATAGCATTTCAGCAGTAATAGAGATACTTAGAGAAACTACCCTGAAAGTGCTGACTGTTCTGCTTTAAGACAGATGAAGTGATAAATGACAGCTCAAATAATTCACAACTGGAGCATTTTAGCACATTAGAGATTAGAATAAGTGGAAGCTTACTGCCTTTTACCTAGCTGTGTCAGTTCTCACAGAGTCAAAGGAACAAATTGCTTTCTCCTCTCATTTCATATAACTAGGTCAACCATGGCCAGCAGTGGAAAGCAGCTGCCTCTGTTTCATACTACCTGAGTGCTGTAATCCACAGAAATCAGCAATCTCTCTACAACAGTGGTTCTCAACCTTCCTTACGCCTCCTAATGCCACGGCCCTTTAATATAGTTCCTCATATTGTGGTGACCCCCAACCATAAAATTAATTTTGTTGCTACTTCATAACTGTAATTTTGCTACTGTTATGAATCATAATGTAAATATCTGATATGCAGGATGTATTTTCATTGTTACACAGGGGTCGCGACCTACAGGTGAGAATCGCTGCTCTAGGAATTTAGGCTGGGGCTATGTGATTGGAAGGAATTGAGTAAACACTCCAGGAAACGTGTTTGCCAGATTCTGCTCTTTGACATTAGACACAAAAATTTACCTCACTTTTGGTTGTTTCTGTTGTTGGTTGTTGCTTTGTTTTTTTTGTTATTAGTTTATTGAGGTTTTAGCTTAAGCATAGAGAAAGGTGAACACAACTCTGATAACAGACTTTAGTGTGAGTAAGATTATTCCGCTGTTTAGCCATTCATATGTGTATTGAATTATTTAACTTCAGTGAAAACTCAGTCACTTTTTTCCTTTTCCCTCCCTCAGAAACGTCTTTTGGATTCAGATTTTATTGATCCATTAATGAATAAAAAAGCCCGAATATCTCACTTGATGAACAGGGTACCGCCAACACTAAATGGTCATTTGAACCCCACCAGTGAAAAATCCACTGCGGGCCTCCCACTGCCCCCTGCAGCTGCTGCCATCCCTGCCCCTCCACCACTGCCTTCAACCCTTCTGCCTGTCTCCCATTCTCTCCAGATGGTAAATTCTAACTCCAATTCCCCTAGCACTCCAGAAGGCCGGGGGACTCAGGACCTGCCTGTCGACAGTTTTAGTCAGAATGGTAATATCTATGAGGACCAGCAAGACAAGTATACCTCTAGGACTTCTCCAGAAACCTCACCCCCTGGTTCAGATCTACTGAAGTGTCCAAAGCCTATGGAAGAAAACCATGTGACGTCTCACAAAAAATCTAAAAAGAAGTCTAAAAAACACAAGGAAAAAGACCAAATCAAAAAGCAGGACATTGAGACTGTGGAGGAAAAGGAAGACGACCTTAAGAGAGAGGAGGAAATTGCCAAGCTGAGTAACTCCAGTCCGGATTCCAGTGGAGGTACTTTACCTTTATAACTAACTACATGTGTCAGATGAACTGGCAGAGCATATCATCATGAGTTTAAGATTATATGGTCTATAATTAGTAATGCTTTTTTAGCAAGTATCCTTCCATTTAATTAAGTTTATTACTATTAATAACTAAGATTTTTAGTACTTTAGGATTATGCTTTTGAGGGTTTTTTTTTTTCCATTTTTGTAGCAGTCATTTTCAGTCTCTTTTTAGCCAGCTATCAAACATGGTTTCTATATTTATTAATAAAGAAATGGCATTTGAAATTCACCCTGTCCAGAGACTCCTTTTTTTTTTAGAGACAGAGTCTTACTTTGTCACCCTCGGTAGAGTGCCGTGGCGTCACAGCTCACAGAAACCTCTGGCTCTTGGGATTAGGCAATTCTCTTGCATCAACCTCCCAAGTAGCTGGGACTATAGGCTCCCACCAGAACACCCAGCTGTATTTTTGTTGCAGTTTTTCCAGGGCCAGGTTTGAACACACCACTCTCGGTATATGGGGGCGGCACCCTACCCACTAAGCCACAGGTGCTGACCGAGACTCCCTTTTAAAAGGTGAACTTTGATGCTTTTTTCATGTTTGTTATGATACTCTGTACAACACAACCTCAGCATGACCTAGGATATGCCATTTCTGAACTTGATTTAACCAGGCACACAATTATCAGTAAAAATGTTCATTTCCTTCTTTTGCAAAGAATCAGGGTTCCCCCCCATTTTAATTAATATGGGAAAATGTCAATTTTTTTATAAAATAGGCAAACTAAAATTCCATTTGCAGATCCTCGTAACATCATCATCACTGGGAATAAAGCAATCTTTCTTTTACAAAGCTGTTAGCTGTTAGTAGCTTAAAAGAGCTTAAGTTTTTCGTTTTTGTTGTGTGTGTGTTTTCCTCCAATTTTGAAAGTCCTATTTTAGTGAACTAGTATCCATTATTGTTTGTAAAATTAACTATTTCAGGCTTTAGGGAGCTTAAAAGCCAAGTAGAGACTCCAAGAAGCTTAAAATATTGCTTTCTTACTAAAGAAAATCTAATCAGTAGAAAAACTGCTTACCTGGGGTGTACTAATCATTAAAAACTAAAAACAAAATCAGATTTTCTTTTTTTTTTTAAGTTCTCTCTAAACCTTGATGTCTTACACACCAGTACCTCATAGAAGATTCAGGTTCATCATTCCATGTCGCTGCTGATTTTTAAGCCAGAATCATTAAGACAAAATTCACCAGAAAAATACAACTTTAATGAACAGAGTTTTAAGGAGTGTTATCTTTATGTATTTTACCCATAACATTGAAAGTTTATAATCCTTAGATTTAACTGCCCCGCTTTGCCATATGAGAGAAGCTCCAATTATTTTCTTTTAGTGGTACTTTAAAGAAGGAGTTATAGAATAATGTGATACAGTACCTTTATTCACCTGGATTGGGTGCATGCATATCACAGCATATCTGTTGAAGTATTTCAATTAGTACAGTACTATATAATGGCCCAAGAAAGAGGTAGTGTAAGCTTTTTCCCTTCAATATTCTTATAGTTGAATTTGTCAAGTCAGGAAAAGACATGAAGGAAAAAGTAAAACTCCATATTTGGAGTTTACAAGCCAGTGGGTACACCCCACCCTCCAGACTTCCCTCCCTCAGAGGGTGGTGCTGAGTCAGAGGCTGGTGGCGGGGG